ATATATATATATATATTTTTTTAACAGATCGGTATTATAAAATATATATATATATATGTATATATGTTTTCCTATGTGCACGTGGGTGTGTATATACATTCTTAATATTACATATTTTACACAATTTTACATACTAGATATACATTTACATAAGCGCACGTCCATTATTATACAATATATAATACATTAAAAAAAAAAAAAACACATTATTTATAAAAAAACAAAATTAAAAAAAATTAAAAGGCACGTGGAACTTTATGACTTTTTTTTCGAATAAAAGTTTTGTTTAATCATATAGGGGATTGTTATTATTATAATATTCTTTTTACTAAAACAAATCGCCCTAATTTTTGGTAATTTTATTATTAATTCTTTCTTCCATTAACACAACCTCCCTCACCTTTTTTTTTTTATTATTATTATTATTATTTTTTGCTTTTTTTTTTGTTTTGTTTTTTATTTTCTCCCTGTAAAATTTATATTTGTTTTACCTCTCATTGGTAGAGGAAAAAGTGTAGAAAAATATTGTTTTTTTTTTTCTTTAAAATTCATGCTTTACATGATAAATTATTAACCCTTTAAGTACTATGGACGTATATATGCGTTTGGTAAACATTACTTACCTAATTATCAACAAGCACATCAACATCTGTGTGTTTGTTAATATTAATGCAAAATAATGTAATAATTGTATTAATCAATGAAATTTATTTACAATCTAAAACTTCAATTATTAAATATAATTTATTATTAGTGAATTTGATTAATAATAAATTATTTTGTTTGTAGAAAAACATTTTAGTTAAAAGTATATTTAGCACTCAAAGGGTTAATAGTAAAACCTATCTAATCATTTTTTCTTTTCTTTTTATTCTAACTATTGATATTTCTAATTTTTGCACAAGTGTGTTCAATTTCGAAAAATTTCAATTCGTTTCTTTTTTTATCTTTTAACAATCACGTGGTAGGGCAGCTAGCTGACATAATTTCGTAATTATAGCACGCGTACTCGACCTCTAAACGGCCTAGCTGATAATCACCAGGTTTTAATCTCGGAAAAGTTAACTGACGCTTAATCAGCATCGACTAACTAAATAATCATCGAGGTGATAATAGATGAGGGACAGGGGGGTGGGGGGGGGGATAGGAGGGAAAGAGGAAGATATTGAGAAGAATAAGAAGAAGAAGAATACGAGTGGTGTCGTCGATCCTATTCCTTTTTCTTTCTCGACCAATGGCTGCCGGATTAAATATTCCTTATCGATACACAACATGTTACGATGTGACAAGCTTCGATGATCCACGGAAAAGATAAGAAGAACGCGTTCGTTGAAAAACGTTTGTCTACGTGTCGTAGATCACGTACAGACCTGATCTTTCATCATCATCACCATCATCATCGTAACACTGGACCCCCCCCCCCACTATATTCTCATCTTTTTACCTTTTATTCTTTGATTGAAAACAAAAATTATTATTAACAATATTCAAAATTGAACTTTCTAATCTCTTTTAAAATAATATATATATATACAGTGACTTTTAAGATATCGTTGCACGTTTTCCCATACACTAATTGCGTTATTCGCAAAAAGATCAAATTAGAAGAATAAAATGATGATGAAAATATTCGGTGGGGCTAAAGGAAGTATCTAGTAGAAGGATACCTAACGAATGCGCTTCTTAACGGGTATAAATCAGGATACAATGAACTACTAGTTTGATTTCTGCAAGACAACGGTACTTTAAGATTAAGTTCGACAGCATAACCGTGGCCAACTCGGTCCTCATTTAAATTGGATATACTCTGGCAGTTATTTTCGTAATTAGAAAGAAGATTGGGAGTTTCGACAGGTGAGGGATTCTGATTAACGCTAATCTCCTTGCTAGGTTTACTTATAGGATTGTCTAAATAAGGCTTGAAGAGTATGGCATCTTTACTATTAGTTGTTGTTGTTGTTGTTGTTATTGGTGGTGATGGTGGTTGTAGTTGTACTTGTGGTGGTACTGGTAGTTGTGGTACTTGCTGTGAGTCAGAAGGAGTTGAAGCAGTACTCCTGACTGGTATTTCTAGATGCGACGGAGTAAAATCGAAGTATCTTTTTTGCTTGACCAGACAGAGTGGCGCCTCCTGCTGTGGGGTTTCTTTATCCGTATCCTTGCAAAATTTCTTTGACGGGATTAAAGGTTCATCGTAACAGAAGGTGCACATTTCCGAAGATCGTTGTCTTTTAATTGGCGATTTCACGGCCGTAACTTCGATGTATTCTTCTGATGATACCGAACCATTGGTTTGTTGTTCGTTTATTGAATCCGTGTTTGAGAATCCTATGTAGGTAGGTAGTTCTTCATAAGAAGAGTTATTTCTTGTTGATGTAGCAGCCACGCAACATGTACATTCGCAGTTCCTTGATGAATCTAACATGTGCACAGGTGGCACAACTACTGGCCGATTTGGAGGAGGAGACGAATTCTCAAATGTCAACTTACAACAATCTACAAATTGAATTGGTGGCGGAGATTGTCCGACATATTCAACATCAACACATTCCTCTTCGGCAATAGGCGAAACAGTATAATTTGTAGTTCTTAAATCGACTGGGAAGTCTCCTGAAATGATCGTTTGATCTTGGCTCGGACCTAATCGTTGTCGTTCGTTACCCCTCAATGCAATCTCTCCTCTTAATTCGCTTTCCTGGCCGAGCCACTTTTGTACCTGGCGACGATTAATGCCAAACTTCCTCGCAGTTGCACGTTGATTTCCTGCTACTCCTATGTCCTGATGGAAAGCATCCAATACTTCGAGTTTGAACCGCAATGAGAAAGATCTTCGTCGACCGAGATCGTTTGATGAATTTCTTGTTACGTTTGATGAACAACACTCCATCAGGTTTTCTACTTCGCTATCCGAACTGCCGCTACTAGATCTCACGGAAATACTTCCAGGTTCGGAATAGGTTCCCTCGTGATCGTTATCAGGACTCCTGGATTCATCGGGACTCCTGGATTCGTTGGGATACGAAATTCGTAGAGCGGGATGAGAATCTATGCAAAATGATGGCACACTGTCTGTTTCGCGGATCTCTTCTACGGCCAACCTTGATTCTTCCTCTTCCTCTTCCTCATCTATTTCTTCCTCTTTAATCTTGACGTCACAGAATAGCTTTCGTTTTTTCTCTTCATGTTTTACTTCCTCAAGTACAGTACTTTTTTCAATTGACTCGGAACACTTGTTCCAAAACTTAGCAGGACTTGAATGAACGATGTTGGATGTTCCAACGTAACGATTGTTAACAGCTATTGGCGAAATCTGCTGAGGATGCATAGTTGATGTTAAACTTGGAGTGCAAGTCGCCACGGAGTCTGGGCTTGAACGTTCCATCTTTATTACTGTCGGCGTTATCGGTCTAGAATAAGTAAATCCATCTCTTGAGGATGAATCAACACTAGCAGGAGTAGTTGTAGGACTGGTGGTAATTGATGCAGCGTTCGATAAGTATGGATGACGAGTCGGTCGGAAATTCGACAACATCGTTTCATAACTTTCTAACTCACGTTGACGTTGTTCATCTATGGTATATTGCTTGTAAAAAGCCTCCATCGTATCATAGGAAATCGTACTCGGAGGTTGCATTATCATCGGCCCATTCTTCATTTCGATATGACATCGTTGGTGTCGATCACGTGGTTCACCATATCCAGCGACGCTGGTCATCGTCGTTGTAGTCGTAGTCGTAGTCGGTAGAACGATTTTGGATGTTAAATGCGTGTACCGTGGTGACGAGGGCGAATCTCGAGTAAGAGGACGTGACGGAATAAGAGGTGGGGGGGGCCGGACGGTCGACTCGTCGCCGTGCAGTCTGGCGAGACCGAGGTTCAAGGCCGGCGCCGGCACCGCTGGAGTCACGTCGGGCATCGTAACCCCTTCCGACGTCGGCAGCGTTACGTCGTGTTTCGAGATCACCGTTGCCGTCGACATAGGTGACGAAGAAGATGATGAGGAGGACAACGACGGTGGCGGAGTTGATACTGTAGAATTCGAATTATTAGATTCGACACAAGTATTTCTTAGATTTTCTTCACACTGAAGCCACTTTTGTATCTGCCGACGATGTATGTTATACTTTCTAGCTGTAGCACGTTGATTACCGCGGCAATCGATGTCATTCCTATAAGAATCAAGGACCTTGAGCTTAAAGGACGGTGCAAATATGCGTCTGCTTCCTGACATATTCATTGATTTCCGTACGTTTTGTTCTGACGATTGTTGCTGTTGTTGATGAACCGATCGTTGTTGTTTGCGATGTACCATATTCGCCGTAGTTCCTTCTGCTACTAATTCACTAGTACCACGGGTCATTGCGCGAGACAGGCACGTAACGGGGCAACTATCATACACTATGTTCGCAAAAATATCGTATTATACACTATTGCGTTAAAGGCGTGTCGATGAATAATTATACACGTTTCTTATTTAACACAATAATAACAAGTGCAAAAACGTTTAAGAGGGTGAAACATTAGAGGCACTAGGAACACTATGAACACTACGAACACTGTGAACTGTACAGCGACAAAAACTAAAGTGACGAAAACGGCAACGAAGCACGAGGGTACCTCGATGCGCAACATCACACACAAACTAGTCTGACCAACGAAGTTCCTTTTAGGTCTTGAGTAGATGCCGTAACTAATTTTCATCCCCTCTTATGAGTCCAAGACCGTAGCCACTTCCCACCGAAAGGCTCTTTTCCCCTTCCCTTTAATCTCCCTCTATTTTATCTCTTTCTTTCTCCCGTAGTCTATATCCCCACTGCTGTTGGTCAGAATGCGACACCGGCGCTCTCTCCGTTTTGCTTTGTCTCCTTTCCCCTCTATGCCTCTTCTCAGTAACCGTACCCCTACCCTTCGTCTGGAGCTTAACTCGGTTCTTCTGAAACGAGCGTGCGGCCGGCTGGCTGGCTGGCTGGTTGGTCCACCGTCCATCGCCGTCCGTTCTTCTTTTTCTTCTCCGTGTATCCATGTATGTGTGCGTCATATTGTCTCCTCCCACGTCCCTACCCTGCTCACCCTCTTTACATTTATACAACATATATATATATATATATATCTCTTACTCATACATATCAACGTCCCCTCCGTCGTCTATCTTTTTCTTGGTCTCCTCTCCTAACTAAGAGCGTAGGCGCCCCACCCGCTGTCCCCTCTACCGTCTCGGCCGTTCGTTCGTTCGTTCGCACCTCGCTCAGGGTTTATGCTACTCCGCCATATTGCAGGCTCGCTTCCGTTGATGACGCGCGCGGGAAACGTCACAGCAGCGTGACGACGCTCCTCTACCGGCGCCATGTTGTCTGCCGTGGTCTCTCTCGTCCAGCCGTTTGCCGCCGCCGCTGGCGCAACGGCAGCCAGCGCGGAGCCACGCATTTTTGCGGGCCTTTCTCTCCTTTCAATCTCCATCCAGAAGGACGGTAGAACTCCACTAACAGCAAACTGCTACACTACCACTACTACTAACCTATGTTTTCTTTCATGCGTTTCACATGCTCTGATCTCTCTATTTTTCTCTTTCTCTTTTTCAGTTCCCGTTACTCTTTTAATATATATTTATGAATTTTTGTTCTTCACAGAGAAGTTTCCAAAAGGGAAACGTCTTTCAAAGAACCGACGGATGCATTTTGGATAAAATTAGCATGGTTGCATCGTACTATGTATATACTTCTCTCGTTTCTAAGTCACCCGTCTATCTCGGGATTGCGTTCGTAAGAGAGCCTAATAAAAACGAGTCTTCGGACTCGTGAGAACAAGAGATGCAGCCAGCCAGCTAGCTAACCAGCCAGCCAGGCGCAACTCGTTCACTCGTTGTGTGATATAACGATGACGTAGGGTATCGTGACAAGAAGAGTTAGAGAAGTAAATAGAATACGTGTACGAGATACAAAAGATTCTACTTGATTCTTTTTCCTTTCTTTTTTTCTTTTCTTTTTTCTAGCGTACTTCCTTTTTTGCTTTTTTTTTTTTAAAGTATTACTTCCGTCACGTTCTAAAGACGGTAGATATTGGTAAAATAATAAAGAACAAGAGGAAAGTTTTGCTTTACGTAGATGAAGGAGGGTAAGGAGAAGTAGGGGACGAAATGTCGCGATGTAGGTGGTGTTCAAAGAGAGGAGCAAGGGGATTTTGTCTTCTAAGAAAGTGCCCATGACCGCTTAGGTTTGCTAAAGTTACATTAGGGTAGAAGTTGTCTTTAGTATTAAATCGATAGGCCAATACAATTGCTGAAAGTTTCTTTTTATTTGTTGTAATTGTCATGTTTTTAGGATTACCGTTAGGTTCCACAAATTTATGATTATATGAAAGACCAGTTTCCTTGTTTATTTGTTTGATTCTCGTTAAGTTAGAGGCAAAACCTTTCGATAGTGGAAATTGCGGGACTTCTTGGAAATCGGGGATAGCAAGAGAACGCGAAATGCTGGTAAGTACGAAACACGGATTTCTCGGTGTATGCGCTGCGAAATGAGATCATGTTGTTTTTGTGGCATGAAGTCGACGGTTAATACGTTTAGCTACGCGTCCGCGCGGTTGCCATGCTTCTACGTCTTGCGCGTAGGCCAACTCGCGAGGCGATGACGCAAGCTGCGCGTTGGCACGTATACATACTTCTTCGATAGAGAGAAGAGAAGAGAAGAGACTAGAGGATACAACGAACGAACGTAAGACTCGACAAGTTAGCTAGCTTGCTAGCTAGCTAGCAAACGATCGACGTGACTTGGAAAGGAAGGAGAGGAAAGAGAGAAAAAGAGAAACGAAAGATGGAAAGAGACAGATTAAGAAAAGGGACGGGGTCATAAATTTTCTTGTCCACTTGAACAGTTTTTCAGTATAAAAGAATTGTCGGTATTCTTTTGAGAGTTTCCAAAAGAAAACTATCCCCAACCGATTTCCTGGAATTAGGAGGGTAAGGGTCCGAGTCAGGTATGAAAATGATGTTCAAGGTTTTCGGCAGTAAAAGAAAAAATATACCTGCTATTCCATTCTATACCGACCTTCGTATCGTAACAGCTCATCGTTTAGGTATTTTATCGGAATCTCTAGCTACGATTGCAATTTGCCCACAAGACATGTTTCATCATTTTTTAATAATTGTCGAAATAATAATTCTTTTATTGTACTCGAGATAAATTTTCATTCGTATGTAAATCCACAATCTAAATCCCGTTAAATAGAGTTGTTGAGCGAAAGGAAAGGATAAATAGAGAAAGGAAAGAGACAGAGATAAAAAAAAAGAGCAGATTGATGCGACGGACGTGGAGTGGTGCAGCAGCAGCAGTGGCAGCAGCTAAGTCAGACCGGCAGTCGCCTAGCGCGCCACGACGGCTGGCACGGCTCGTCGGGTTTGTCCTTGGGATCGAGAAGGTAGGCGCAGCCCAAGGAAAGAAACGTGGCAACGTTGGAACAGGCATATCTCCCCCTCCTTTATCCGTCGTCGGCCGGTCTTGCCAGACAGGGTGTCGCCAGCGCGGTCGGCTTGGTCGGTTGGGTTTACGAGAGGGAAAGAGAAGATCGACGGGTGAAAGGTGGAAAGGGGGGTGGCAGGGAACAGGGGGGTAGTGTGGCTGTAACAGCAGGAGGTGGTGGAGGAAAAGGGACGTGGAAGGGGGAGGGGGTTCCGGTATGTGTGCTGCTAGTCATAGAGTAGGGAGGTTAAAGCGAATTGCGCTCGTGCAACGGAGAAGAGAGTCCCGGGGATAGGGATGAGAAGGAAAAAGAGAAAGATAGAAAAAGACAGTATGCTGGTGTTCTCTGCGTATCGTAGGATCGGTCGTGGACCTACATTCACGCGGGTAGCCATGTTTAAAAACTCGAGTCCCACTGGAATGTGCCTAAGGGGGCCGGACCCCTACCTTCCTCTCACTCACTTGGTTTTCCTTCCTTCGCCATTCTACTACGGCCCTGTTGACGATCTTCCAATGCCTTTTGCTTTCCTCTCTCTTTCTATCTACCATTCTTCTCTATACATGAGCGTTGGCGCCCCAAATGGTCTCGTAACCAGAGACGCGCCTCTGGCCTGCCCTGGTCACGCCAGACTTCTCGGCGCCCAAATGATGTGCCGACCATTCCCTCTCTCTCTCTCTCTCTCTCTCTCTCTTTCTTTCTTTCTTTCTTTCTTTCTTTCTTCCTCCTACTCGTTCTCTATTCATCCCGTCTCGTCTCGTCTCGTCACGTTCCCTTTGCTTTCCTTTTTCTTCCAACATATACACATATACTACTCTCATGAACCCTCCGATGAAGTTTGAAGGACCTAAACACGTAGCTGAATTTCTTCACACCTCCAATACACGAACATTCTTTTGTAGTAGTTGAAGTCGAAGATCATTGAAAGAGAACGGAGAACATGTTGGTGTTTCGGGTGGTTTTTTTTATAGCACATGTGGCATATATACAAATGTAGGATAGTTAAGATTTGAAAAGTTCTTAGAACGAAATTAGATGATTAATTATTGTTTAAATTAGCTACTTGTCCTGCTAACCTGTTTGGGTCTTGCATTATTTTAGATTGGATTTTCTAACGTTATAATATTTTATAAGTTTTCTATCTTCTTGCTCGTTGTTCTTCGTTGTCGGACTTTGGAAAAGACTCTCTCTCTCTCTCTCTGTTATCAGCTTATACGACTTCTTATCTGAAGTTTCCTTAGAAAAAAATCTGTGCTCGAGAAACGATGAGTCTGTCCTTCGTAATCGCACGTATATGTACATACACATACACCCACACACCCATATATATTTATTTGTATGCACGTATGTCGCTAGGTCGATTACATCAGTAGCTTGTTAGCTCGATAAGGAGTTAATAAAACTAATAATAATAATAATAACAATTCATTCGTTGAATGAAGAGAAAGAGATAGAAAGAGTCAATGTGCTTGTTAAACTACATGGGTAAAAGATCATACCCATATGTTTTCATTTTCATGTCGAATAATAATTAGATAGGACTGTTTTGAAAGAAGATAAAAGACGCATCTCAGTAGTTTCTTTCCGATAGGAGGGTGGTAAGGGTTTCGTTAGTTGCTCTTTTAAATCGCAAACTCGAGTTTATACTTTAGTTTATTTATGTGCACGCCGACTGGGAGAGCCGCCACACGTGCAACCTCGTACATATATTAGTTTCAATCTTCCTGGTGTTAGTTCGTATCTGTCCTTGTGTACGTTCCTGTTTACGACTTTGTGCGTATTGGTGCGTATTTGAAGACACACACACACACATTACATTAGTGAATCGTACATGCGTGTATGGTGTCGAACCTAATCGCTCGTATACTCAGGGCCGCATTGATCACATCATTGATCATCAAAATCTATACCCCCATTAGGTTTTTATTTCATTTCATGAACAATCAAATAAAAGTTAAGAAAAGAAACAGGTTAAGACGTTTATAATTAATGCTTACGAAAGAGAAATGGCCACGTGACGTTGGTATCTGGGGTAGGGTAGGGTAGGGTAGGGTATGGTATGGTATGGTATTGGGTAGGGTATTTTGACGAACTTTCTCTGAAAAGAAACTAACCTATAATACTCTCATATGCAAATAAGAAACGAGGTGTTATTGGTCGACTCTATTCAAAACTACAGATCGATAACCGTTAAATTGACTGTAAAACTCAAACTTAATTAGTTTTAAAGTATCCGTAATATAATTTATAGGTATAATAACTTTCATAAGGTCAGTTTCGATCGGTCCAACTTATTCTATCACCCGTTTACTTTATTTTGCTGCTGTTGCTGCTTTCTCTTTTAAGATCTTGTCTCGTGACCAAGGAAAGATACCCAGGAACGTACATTTCAAATTCATATTGAACAAAATTAGAAGGCTATGATTGAGAAAGATAAAAAAAAAAAAAAATTAAATCAAAATATAAGATAGAAAGATTGAGAAAGATTGAAAGTTGTATTAGGTTTCTAAAACCTTCCCAGTCAACATTCCAACATTAGTGATGGATAATTTTGTTAAGAACCTTGTGATGCGTCCCTGATATCGGGTGGTTCGCGTAGGTTAAGCGTCACACTTGGCCGCACCGCTCGTTTGCCTACGTACGAACACAGAAATACACCTTCTCCGTGGGCGGTCGTACGATGTGGCGCCTACTCGCACATACCTGCCGAGTGAGCAAGAGAAAAAAAAGAGAAATAAAGAGAGAAAGAGAGAGAGAGAGAGAGAGAGAAAGGAGCTTAAGAAACCTCTTCGTCAGAAGAGAACGTTTCTTTCCTTTTATTACTCACGCACACCTCTCATAAGTGTTGTGTCTTCTTATTTTAACTCTTTCATCTTTTTCCGCGATAACAACACGTGGAAGACCAGTGGAAATAATATTATAGCAATAATAATAATAATAATAATCATAATCATACAAATAATAGTCTTATCATCGTAAAACGCAGCTTTGCGAAGCAATGTGTGTGTGTGTTGTGTTGTGAGCAGCTACCAACGCCTACATATTAGATCCTCTCTTTCTTTCTTTCTTTCTTTCTTTTTCTTTTTCTTTTTTTATTTTATTTTATTTTCTCTATCTTTCTCTTTCTCTTTCTCTACGTTGCATGCATATACAAGCTAACCTTTTATCTTATCATTGGCGAAGGCGTATCGAGGCTGACCGCCATGCATTTTGCTATTGGCACGAACGCTTTCGATGACTTCGATGAGAAAACTTCGTATTCCGGATCTTTCATTTCTTCCACCCCTTGTTTCTTCTTCTTTTTTCTCCTTCTCCTTGTCCTTTGTTTTATTCCAAATAAGAACGGAAAATTCCACGAGACAAAAAGGACAACAAACACACAACGGGGGATAGTATTGAGAATTGTGACGTTGAATTTCTACGAAACGATTTCAACAACCCCTTCCTACCTTCCTTCATTTCTTCCCTACTTCCTACCCCCTACTTCTTACCCTACCCTTAGTTACATTTGTCTCTTTTGTTTTATTTTGATCACCCAGTGGCGCGCATGTATCCAAATTTACCGACCATTACTTACCATGTGTGGACAATGTTTTACAGTACATAGTTTGATTTCTGTTTTATCGGCTGGTATCATCTTACACATATTTGAATTCAAAAGTGTCACGTGATAATCTTCTTCTTCTTCTTCTTCTTCTATTCTCGTTAATTAAATAAATCTCTTGTTCATGGATTTATTAACGAGGTCATCAGTTAGGTCATCCACAACTTCTTCTTCTTCTTCTTCTTCTTCTTCTTCTTGTACACTTCAATGTACAATCATGGAATTTTGTTTATATTAATGTATGAATGACTAATGGGTTTTATTTGAATTCTTCTTTTGTTTTAACGGAATTTGATTTTACGTTAAATCAATATGGCAACTTTGTTCTTTTTGTTTTGTTTTGGGTGAGGGTCGGGGGGGTTCTTTTCTTTTTCCTTTTTAAACGAAATTAATAGTTTTGAATGTAAAACAGACATGTGATTTATAACCAGATAATTATGGAAGATCATTTAAAATGATATATTTCTTCCGTTGATATTGCAAAATGTCTTCATAATGTATTTTTTTTCTGCTACTTGGTACGTGGTATACGTTGTGTTGTTTAGCTCATTAAATTATCCGTTATCTGTTTGATCTAGCTGTGTTTGCTCTTTCCTTATATTAGAACGCAATTTATGTCGGATTTTAAGATTTATCTGTTTTCATCCAATCGAATTTATTCTCAAATGAATCAAAGGAATTGAATTTAATTGAATATTTTTATGAAAAATAATATATACAGGGTGATTCATCAGTTTTTGTCATCTAAACAGCTCCTAAAGTTTGACAGTAGTAGAAAAGTGGATAAGAACAAAGTTGCATGAACAAAATTCAAGACTAAATTTTGCATTTTTTTTTTTTTGTAAGCTTCAGACATTTTTGAGATTCATTGATCAACTTTGTTTTGTTTAAATGCAATGTTATATTTTGAATACTAATTTTCGGATAGCGGCTGATAAGATGAATTCAATGATATGCAACATTAATATTTGTGAAGTTCAACAAAGTTCAAAACTGACGAACAGACCTGTTATAATGCAGCTCTTCCACGTCATGGTCGTGTCAAGGTTACGTCAGGGTTACGTCAGCCTTTAGTTATTTCGAAATAGACGGAACAGATAGTTTCCGAATAGTTTTGATTGGTCATTATCAAGTTTAGTATTTAATGTTGCACATCATTAGATTCGTCTTGTCAACCGCTATCCGAAAATTAGTATTAAAATATAACATTGTATTGAAACAAAATAAAGTTGACTAATAAATCTTGAAACTGACTAAACTTAGTCAAAAAAAAAGAATACAAACTTCATGCGTCTTGAATTTTTCATGCAACTTTGTTTTAATTCACTTTTCTGCTACTGTCGGACTTTCTGAGCTGTTTAAATGGCTAGAACTGATGAATCATCCTGTATATTTGGCTTGGGAAAATGAAAGACATATATCATTTATATTTTTTTTATAATAATTATTAAGAATATATTATTATTATTATTTTTGTGGATTAATAAGATGGTTGTAAACATCCTCAAGTAATATTTCATATATATAATACATATGTTGAATTTGATTTTATTTTCATTCCATACGTCAAAGGATTTATTTTTAAAGTATTAAAGAATGTCAAGTGATGTTTTTTTTTTTTATTTTGACTATAGGATGCTATGTCAAATGATTTGCTATTATTGTCATGTAATGCTAATGTAAAGGTTTTTAGTTGTATCTACTGTAAGTCACACATATAGTGTAGTCACAAACACGTGTTAACAGCAGACAGGTTTTGTTGTTTGTTAAGTCTCAGACTTTCATCATTGGCTGATAGCCGATTTTTACGTATGTATATGTAATAATATACATATATAGGGTGTCTAATATAATCCAAGCCAAATTTTATATTATACATGTTAATGTTAATTGAATTGACATTGTTTTTATCGAACAGTTTTCAATAATTCGATGATTTAATTTTGTTCTTGCAACTATTCAAATGGATTCTTCATTTTTTTATTTCTTATTGTTTTAAATAATGTTTTAATATTTTCTTCTTGTTGTTGTTGTTGTTTCTAATTATATTTTCATCTACAAAAATTATATTACACGATTGAGTTTAATTTTGATCGTTTTATTTATTGAATTTTTAGATAAAACATTTTGCAAATAATTCTTTTTTATATTTATTTATTCAAATTGATATCAAAAATGTGTTTGTTTCGGTGATTTATAGTAGATAAATACGAAAAATAGATTCAGAAGTTACTTATTACTCGATTCTAATATTTAATAATGTAACCATAAAAAATATTACATTATATGCAACATTGTTTGAACTTATCATCAAAAAAAAAAGAAAAAAAAGAAAGGAAGGAAGGATAGAAATTTTGTGGAAGGATGTAATAAAATAAAATAAAATAAAATAAAATAAAATAAAATAAAATAAAATAAAATAACATTTCAATTATTCGTCTCTTACATATACACACATATGTATAAATATGTATGTATATGTATTAATATATTTATATTTATAAATAGAGTACAAATGCATATGATATATGATAGTTATGTGTCGTCTTGTTCTCTGAAATGCTTAACACAATAGATCGTAATATATACATTTTGTATTTTTGTTTTTGTTTTTTGTTTTTTTTGTTTTTAGTTCTCAAATGATAGCCCTTTATTTTATCATATTTTTATTTTTATTTTTTGTTATTTTTTGTTAAATATTAAATTATTAAATTCGTTTGAAAATGCTACACTAATAAACAAAAATGATAATTCTCGAATGATAACAGTCCTTTTATCATATTTTTAATCAACTTCAAACAAAAAAAAAAGGAGGAGGAGGAGGAGGTTCTCAATTCGACTGTATTTTTTTTTTTTATGTTTGTTACCTCAGAACTTTCGATTGGGGTGAACCAATTTTGATGATTGTTTTTTTGTTTTCTTTTTTTTTATTATTTGAAAGCTGATGATGCTTCCCGTTGTTGGGATCATTTCAATTGTAGGTAGCTACTTCTTTCATTAAAAGTTAGCCCTGTTTTCTTTTTTACAATCGAATGTTTTTTTTTTTCAGATAATTTTGACAAATTTTGAAAATAACAAATTGTTGTTTGTTTATGAGCAAGTTAAAATCAAGCTATCATCTAACTCTTAAGAGTAAGCACCTTAACCGGAAGTCTTGTTTTACTTCAGTCGATTCACAAGCATACGATCATCATATTAATTCGATATAATATATATATATATCGATATATCGATGATATATAATCCGAAGAATAATAATAATTATATATATATATATAT